TGGGACGGCGCGCGGCCTCGGTGCTCGCGCGACCGGGCCGAGGCGGTGCGGTACCCTCCGCCCTCTGAGCTGTCTGCTTATTTTTTCTTTCTTTTTCACAATTGTGAACATTTTGCAAGACGAGAGGTTTGCGGCAGGTGAGAGCATCCTGCCCGTGGCCGAGGAGCCCGCGGGCACTTGGCGCGCTCTCCGGGGACCTTCTGCATTGGGAACCCGAAAGTTTTTGTTTTATATTTTCACGCAGATGTGTTTATAAAGACATAAGTAATTTTTTTTTCTTCTCTTGTCTCCACCGCCTTGAAAGAGACTACTTTCGGCAAAGGACGGAGGAAAACCCTCAGCAACATTTTGGAGAGCGTTTTTTTTTTTTTTTAAGAAAAATAATTTGAGTGCATCGCAATGGAGAAAATGTCCCGACCGCTCCCCCTGAATCCTACCTTTATCCCGCCTCCCTACGGCGTGCTCAGGTCCTTGCTGGAGAACCCGCTGAAGCTCCCCCTTCATCACGAAGACGGTGAGCGCTGCCCTCCTGGCTGCCCCGCTCTGGGAAGGAACGGCGCTCCTGGGGTCCCGCTCCTGGGGCCCCGCTCCTGGGGTCCCCCTCCTGGGTCGGGCACACGCGCTGGCCCGCCGGAGCATCCATCCCCCTCCTTCTCTCCCTGTCACCGGCACCCTGGCCCTGCTTTTGGTGAAATTGAGTAGCTCACCCATCGCTCCACCCTTCCTCCTTAAAAAGGGGAGACCCTCTCGCTGAGCAACGTTTACGGTAGCGTTGGGGACCCAGCCTGGCCTCCCGGGGTCCGGATCGGGCGGCGCAGGTGGGAGAGAGAACTTGACGGGTCAGTGTTCCCTAGACTGAGGCTCACCGGCATGCGGAGTGAAACCATCTGCGCCAGGACAGAGCTTCGCGGGCTGGGGAGAGAAACCAGAGGGCTGGCTTCCATGCGGGTTGGGGCTCGAGTTGGGGGTCTCCCTGCGGAGCCTGGGTATTGGGGTCGTGCTTACTGCTGCTGTTAGTAGTATTTTGAAGTCCGGAGCAGGTGAAAGCAGAGACGCGTGTTCTCCCGTGCAGGTTACTTCAGAAAGGGGGGTTGGGGAGCTGGAGCTGGCGAGGGGAGTGGTCTCTGGGCGCGGAGCCGCGTACGCCCCCAGCGCTGCCACCTTCCCGGTGCACTTTCCTTGGTGGGAGGGGAGAGCGGATCCCGCTCACGTGTAACCGCACAAGAGCCACCTCTGGCTTGAGCCTTGTCTGGGTAAGTCCCAAACCTTCCCCAGGCATCCTTGGCTGGAGCGGGCCGGAAGGGGTCCTATGAGGAGATGCGGAACCCAGCTGGTGCCGCCCGGGATCTGTCCTTTGGGCTGATGGTTTTCATCCCTTCGATATAGCGCTAGCAAATGCGAAACCTCCTAGCTTATAGTGTAAAGTCTTGAAAGATCATTTGGCTGCAGGTAGCTCTGGAGAACTCTCATCTTCTTTCCTACCAGGAACAACCTGTTGCATTGCAAGAGTTGAGGGGTTTGATTCACAGTCTGCAGAGCCTAGCTTCCCTCTTAATTCCTCTTTAAGGAGTAGCACTTGGGAGGAAGGTGCTGCCTGCAGTCTTTTACATCTGCGGGTGTTTTTAAGTCAGATTCTCAGGAGATGAGACTGTAGGGAATTAGAATGGGGGTCGGTGGAGGCTGTTTCTCTGAGGAAATACCTCAAGCCGAATTCCTTAATCCCAGATTCCACCGGCGCCTGAGTACTAGACTCGTCAAAATCCGGAGCGCTGGTTAAAGACCTAAGGGGGTGAGGGACACTCCTAGGCAGAAAACAGCTGCATACCTCCATCGCAGGTATAGAGAGGACCACGTTTCCACTAGCTGTGCTTTAAACAGGGTGCCTCCATGTATAATTGAGTCGGATCATACTTAAACGTTTGCGGAAGAGGAGGACGAAAACACTTGGTATTTAAAAACAAAATAAAAATTCCTTTTGTAAAATGTAATATACCCAGTGGTTTTAGAAGCAAACACACGTGACCTAGGTAGTTCTTGGTTTCCTCTGCAATGTGAGGCACTGGTCAAGGTCCTGCAAATCTCAGAGCCTCCATTTCTTCATTGTGAATGGGGATAGTTGCTATTTGCAAGTTTATTATGTGATTGAGGGGGTAGAAATATATGTGGAAGAAACCAGGTAGATAGTAGGTGCTCAGTACATGGTATCGAAGAGTCTGTACTTTACCAAAATTAGAATTACCAACGCCCTGGCTTTGTGAGTCTGAATGACATCATCTTGTTACTGTAATGAAGTTCCTGGAAGATAAATCATGCCTGGTTATTGGCTGTTTTCTTAAAAAATCACATCAGTTGCCTGTAATTGCCTGGGTTATTTTCCCACTGTAGATTTGAATTAATATTTGTCTCCCCGAATAATGCACTGAAGCCTGTGCTCTCTTGTTTATATCCTAGACCAGTCTCTAGCCCTGTCCCAAGGACTCGTGCCTTCTTTCCAAAGTAAATAGGAAGATGTTGAAAAACAGGCAGAGATCCATGTCCTGCCTGAACTTTTAACTCCAGAGCCACAGAAGCCAGCAGCCAGAGAAGAGCCCCGGCATTTGTGGGAAGTAGTTTTACAGCAGAAGCCAGGAGGGGGTGATACAAAAGGGACACTTTTTCTTTTTTAAAATCCAATTCACCTCCCCCCCCCCTTTTTTTGCAGCATTTAGTAAAGATAAAGACAAGGAAAAGAAGCTGGATGATGAGAGCAATAGCCCGACGGTCCCCCAGTCGGCATTCTTGGGACCCACCTTATGGGACAAAACCCTTCCCTATGACGGAGATACTTTCCAGTTGGAATACATGGACCTGGAGGAGTTTTTGTCGGAAAATGGCATTCCCCCCAGCCCGTCGCAGCATGACCACAGCCCTCACCCTCCCGGGCTGCAGCCGGCTTCCTCAGCTGCCCCGTCCGTCATGGACCTCAGCAGTCGGGCCTCCGCACCCATTCACCCTGGCATCCCGTCCCCGAACTGTATGCAGAGCCCCATCAGACCAGGTAAACTCTCAGAAGGGTCTCCCTTCAGACTGGGGAGGTGGGGAACGGAGGGGCAGGGTGAGGTTGACATAAACGTCTTCACCATCAGGGATGCTTTAGCCCACCCTAGAGGGGGAGTCTTGCATTTCAGCCACGGTCGTGGTTGTCCCTCTTCAATGAGCATTTCACCTGGAGAGTCAGCGAAAGGCAGATTCTGTGGACCTACCCCTAGAAATTCTGATTTTTCAGGTCTGGACAAGGCCCAGGAATATACATTTTTAACCAGCTCCCTGCAGCTGATCCAAGGACTATAGTTTAAGAAATACTAACTCACAGTGACTGAGTTGGATAATTTAGGCATCCATCTTGCCTCCTGTCTCTTTTCCTCCTTCCCCAAATACACAGATGATAGAATTTTGCTGAATGATTTGGACAGACTCTTATAAAACTGCGGTTTACCCATATCTATCGTTCTCTGGCCTGAAGGGAAAAAAATGTGAATCAGGGGTGGGGGACAGAGAGATTTTTGATCCATTTCATCTTGTGTTGTCATCGACTGAGAAATGGAATCTAAAAGCCGCTGTCGTATTAAGAGAGCTTAGCCGTCTTCGGTATCAGACCCCTTGTCTCTCTTCACTGTGCCGATAAACCAAATTGTTCATACATTTTTGTTTTCATTTTCACCCACCTGTCCACTACATGTCGTCCACTTTTATCAAAACCCACAAGGTCACAGGGTCAGCTTTAAATGGTGTGGAAATATTACACAGAAACGTTACCTGAAATGACCAGCACTTCAAAACCCACTGCTGAACGGTTAGACAGAAACAAGAGTTGAGGCCGCTCTGTCTTCGTGCCGTTCGCACCCTGTGGTACAAAATGAACAGGAAGAAAGGCCATTTCATGTCCACAGGTAACCAGGAACAAAGATCCAGCCAGATAAATTGTCAGGCAGGTCGCTGAGCCGAGGGCCTTAGCCGCAGGGAGGGCAGAAAGCAGGACAATAGGAGACTTGTGCTGGAGATCATTCCTGAACTCTGTGTCCCCAGCTCGGGTAGAATTTCTGTGACACACAGAGCGAGATTAAAATGAAAGGAAATGGTGCAAAGGAGGAAGAGAACGCCCCTGCCTTAAAATGTTAGTGTTGGAGTTAAAACTTTCCCATCAAATCTCTCTGGGCTGCCCCTTCTCCAAAGCTCACTTTGAATTGTAACTTCAAGGCCCCTGGCTGGAATGGAATTAAGGCATCATCTCTGACCCCCTCAGGAGGCTGCAGAAACTTGGGGAAACATTCCTTCATGTGACCCTAAGTCCCTCTTACTTAGAACCCGTGGGGTCATTGTCTTCAGTTTCTTCTGGGAGCAGACCACAAAATAAATAACCTTTCAGAGTGAGGAAGCAACCAGGAAGATGGGGTGAGAGCCCCGGTGAGAAGGCACAGGTGTGCCTCAGTCATCTGCTCTGCAGAATGGGACTGACCACTTCGTAGCTGTGTGACCTTACAAAGTGACATAACCTCTCTGGGCCTCAGCTTGCCTCTGTGTAGAAGGGCATACTTTATATTTGATTGAGCTGTTGTGAAAAGTACAGATAATGTATATAAAGGGTGAAATGACCAGCACCAGATGTTTTGTAATGAGAGCAGTTATGATCATTATTCTGTCTATGCCAGCTTTCATCATTTATTCCCATCCCTGTCTTCTGGAATACCTTTGTAAAGCAATTAGGTACAGCATATAACCTCTCATTCTGGAGAGAGATGCCGGGAGATTTTGACCAATAGTTATTGGCTCGGGGTGTTCTAACACTTATACGCGATCGACTCGTATTTCTCAATCTCCTGTCAAGTACAGGATGTGTAACATGTTAGAAATGCTGTATTTATTTCCCAAGAGGCATGCAGATATGGGGTCCCCATCAGCGAGGTTCCTACTGAGAGTCAAGAATTGGGGTTTTGGAGCTTGAGGCTTCCTTAAAAGTCACTTGTCAGAGCTCATTAGAATCAGTATTAATCAATGACTCTTGGAAATCTGGGGTGCCCCAGTCAGGTTTGCAAATCTATAACACAAAGATCTCCAGAGTTTCAGTGAATAGCATTTTGTGAGGTTATGGAGGAAAGGCTCCGGGATCAAAGTGGGTACTGGAATCTAGGAATAAGCTCTCCATTTAAACCTCTTTTTTGATACTTGAAACGCACTTCAAAATAATCTTCAATTCATTTAAACTCAATGGTACTCCTAACAAAAGAGGAAAAAAAGTTATAGCTCTTCTTAAAAACACCAAATGCAGATAAAATAACACTCGGCTGTTCATATGGTGCTGATCATTATAAAGATTATAAGGCAAAGCACAATTCGAGGGGACGTGGAATTCACGGGTGGTATGTCACAGGCAAACCTGAAAAAAGGAGAAAGTCCTCGATGATTCTGTGTAATAGAAATGCCAAACTAATCTTGAGGAAAATAAGTCCTCAGAAGGGAAGAGCACAGCTGTTGCCTTGTACATTCTGGGAATTGTATAATTTCAGTCTAAATCAAAAACTCTCAACCTTGGCACAGTTGATGTTTCAGGTAAGTCTTTGCTGCAGGGATCGTCCTGGGCATCGTAGGACATTTAGAGGCACCCCTGCCTCTACCCTGTGACACATGAAAATACTTCCAGTCACTGCCAACTTTCTCCTGGGGTCAAAATCATCCCCCACCCCCCCCACCTGTTGAGAACTAATGATCTAGACATTCAGTTTGAATGTCTGGGCTTACCTCAGGATCCTGTCACACACACGGATGCTTTTTACCCCCTGTACAGCTTTGTGGCAAAACTTTTGAGATCAGGAGAATTTAGGTGGCTGCAAAGAAATATAACATTAATCAGAGCGTGGTTATGCACTTTTAGTTGATAAAACAGAAATCAAGCTGATCAGGCTTTCAATGCAGAACAGCTTTATTAAACATTTGTTTTCTGCCCCCTGCTCAGCGTGCATCTTTTGAGTTACGCTCAGTAGCATTGTGCCATGAGTGCTGCCTGTGTGGCTGAAAGATGACAAATTAGGCATTTCTAGGTTTACCCCACATGTGTCTCGGAATGACAAGGTGGACTTTCTTGTGAATTCTCTCACTTATCTACCCTGACCACCCTCTAACCCCTTTCCTATTTGGTATACCCATCCTCATTCCTCTGTCTGGCTGTCTGATCGAAGGATGAATTAAATTCTCTGAATACAGTTTCCCTTGAAGAAATAAGCTGGGGATGCCTTGAAACCTCCTGTGGCTGTGGGTCACTGCTAAGCTTTCTGGGCTGACATCTTAACGAAGGAGAGTGGTGATCCCTGGATGCTACAGCCACCTGTGTGGGCTTCTCTGTCCTCTGAGGTGCAGCTTTCTGGACGTTCCCAGGCCCACAGAGATGGCAGGAGTCATCCTGACCGCTTCGATGTTTGCATGTCAGATACTATCAGAAGTGGTACCTGGGAGTGCTTTCCTAGAGGTATACGCCCTGTACTGGAAAAATAAGAATCGGTTTGCCCGGAGAATTGAGCGATTGCTTTAAGGACAGCAGTCCCTTTAGGGAAAGTCATCCATAGCAGACAAAGGCAGAGTTATTTTTAAATCACATGCTTGTAAAGCCAGATTTGAAATTGTTTCCTCTGGTGGTTTTTCTTTGCATAGCTTGGGGGTGTCCTACCAGTGTAAACAGCTGAGAATTAAGAAGCCTCTCTTTCCAGTTCTGAGCACAGAGTCTGGGTCACCATGAAGGCTGCTTATGGAGTGAAGTGAAAACCCCTGGAGTGTGCTGGTGTGTGGGAGAGGAGGGCGTGAGTGGGTGGCCCAAGTAGAGTGAGGAGGTAGGGAGAACCAACTGCACCTTTGCAGGATGGAACCTGTGTTCTGTTTCTGCTGACCTTCCTTTGTGATGAGGTTCCGCGTGGAAGGAGAATGCTGGCCATGGGGTCTGAATAACAATGGAGGAGGGTTCTGTGCTGGTGATTCTGGAATTACGGGAGGTCTTGCTCAGGCAACAGAATTCTCTTTGCTTTTTCCAGCATTGTGAAACGAAGCTTCAGTTTCTCCCTCCCCTTGAGGGCATGCAGTACATGTATTTTCCCATCCAGCGTGTTGCTAAGTCTGCAGATTGGGAGCACCATGCTGGACTTGAGTGCGCTGCCCCTCAAGTTTCTTGGACATGCTCTCCATCCATCAGGGTCAAGGAGATTATGAGGGAGGTCAGCTTTGCTCTGGAGGCCGGCAGACTTTTCTGTTGCTTGTAAGAGTTTATCTTCTCCACCACACCCTGTAGAAGACAAGTTTTCCCTGTTCTCTTGGCTTTGTTTTGTGTGACAGTCCCAGGACAGGGGTTTCCTAGCCTTCTGGCAAGAGGTATTTCCAGATACGTGTGGACAGCAGAGTGCCTTGGTGGTTAAGAGCATCAGCTCTGGGCCCAGGGTCTTGGGTTCACATCCTGGACACGCTTTGACCTGCTGTGTAACTCTCTGTCAATTTCTTGACTTCCTTAAGCCTCAGTTTACTCATCAAGAGAATGGAGACTATAAAACCCTCCCTGGGGTTTCAGCAGGGTGTGTGGTAGGTGCATTCTCAGGGCCTGGAGCTGGAGTGATGTCATGGCTTGGGAGCAGGAGAAGGGAAGGCTTATTCCCAACCCCAGTCTCCATTTAGGGATTTGTATCATCCAGTGCCCTTCCTTCTGCAAAAATGGAACATGCATTTCGTTGTTGTTTTTCAGCATGCCCAGTCCCCATCCTGTGCAGCCTGCTTGACTTTTCTCCTTCATCCTGGGTTAGGACAAGCCACTTCCCTGATGTTACTCCAGCAGCAGCCCTTCTGGGTTAGCAAGTCCTGTTCCCCGGTTTGGAAACTGCTGCCCGCTGGGTGCCCAGCCCCCTCCCCCCCAGCTCTCGTGCAGGCCCCGGCCACCCTGGCCGCCTGCCCGCGTGACCGTGTGCTCCAGGCACGTGGCTGTGCCCGGTGGAGCTCACCCAGCTCAGGGTGGCGCGCTGGCAGCCTTCC